AACACCAAACCCTTGCTTTTGTTGTGTTGTTCCTATCAGGAATCATAAAAAACCCCAATAAAGTTCTAGGCCTTGACCATAGCATTGACACAATAATAAATTGCAATTTTGAAAGCTGCATCTTTTATAGGGCTTTGGAAGGGTGACAGAGCTTGGGGGGGGGGGGGGGTAAAAATTGAAAATTATCCAAATGTAAAATTAAGTAGATTGCTCACAACAGCAACGATACACAAAAAGACTGATCAAACGGAAATATAACATCTGATTAAAAAAATAGAGAGTAAATCATCAGGGAATTATGTCATACTTACACGCACTAACTGCATGTAGCTGTTACAACCAGTCTAAAAACACTTGCCCCAGTCTTTGGAGCTTCTTAAAAGAACACACCGGGTACCTTCAGTTGGTCTACCTCTTCTTTGATGGTAGTTGGCGCGTGTTCTGGTCTGGGTTGTTTGTTGTTTTTTGTTTTTCTTTGTTTTTTGTTTTTTTGGTAAGTGTTTTACGGCACTCGCAACTGCATAAAGTCATATGAGCGCGCGGGACGCACTAAACATTTTCAATTGGTAGGAAATTGGTATGGTTTGCTCTTTCTTTCCTGTCACACATCTATCGTCCTTATCTCTCCTCCTTCTTTTCTCCGTATTATGTTACTCTCTTATTGTAACACCTCTTATTTTCAACACTTGTATAACAGCAACGATACGACAGCCGTAAAGCTTTGTACATTACTCTCTCGTAACACCTCTAATTTTCAGCACATGTGACCTAATTGTGTAGCAAGTGCTGTAAAACTCTTACCAAAAAACAAAACAAAAAACCCCAACCTTTGAGAGACCAACCCTCCCTAAACTTTCAGGGATTAACAAAGTCCATGGAGACATCAAATTTGAGACGAAAAGACGAAAAAAAGCAGAAAAGAAAAGAAAAAAAGAAAGAAAAAAAGAAAAGAGAAAGAAAAAATGAAAGAAAATAAAAAGACAGAAAAGAAGAAAGAAAAGAAAAGATGAAAGAAAAGAAAAGAAAAAAAAGAAAAGAATTTTAAAAAAGACAATTTAAAAAACCAAAAAGAAAAGAACAGAAAAAAGAAAGAACAGAAAAGTAAAAAAAGAAAAGAAAAAAGAAACGAAAAGAAAAGAATCAAGAAAAGAAAAAAGAAGAAAAGTAAAAAGAAGAGGAAAAAAAACAGAAAAAAGAAGAGAAAAACGCAAAGAAAAAAAAAAGAAAAGAAAAAAAAAAGAGAAAAGAAAAAAAAAAAAAGAAAAGAAAAAGATGGTCACTTAAAAGTTAGTTGTACCTGACGAAGCAGTTCCGCGGCCAGCCTGCGGTCATGACGGGGAAAGTTTTTCCTTGTGTCAGAATAAAATGAGACTGGTTACAATAAATAATTTTTGGTAAGTGTCTTACGGCGTTTGCAATTGCAAAAAGTCATATGGGCGCGCGGATACATTCAACTTAATTTTGAATTGTGCCCGGATGGCGGCCGAGACCTACCCTTATCGATTTTAGTACTACCAAGGGATCTTTAACGTGCACAACTTGCACACAAAAATGTGTGTGTGTGG